CCCCGTTCCCCCTCCAAACACGCATCTAAGCGCAGGCGCGCTGGCGCCCCGCTCGTCTGTGCCGCCGCAGGTCTCGGCTTCCGGTTCCGCCGGGACCCAGGGACCGAAGCTGATGGCGGCGTCCGGGAAATTAGCAGCAGCTGGCGTTGCAGAAGCCGTGGAGGAAGAGGATCCGCGGGTTCTGGAGCCCGGGGCCGCCCCGTTCGGAAATTTCCCTCGCTATTCCTGCTTCCACCCTCCCGAGCAAAGGCTCCGCCTGCTGCCCCCGGAGCTCCTTCGGCAGCTCTTTCCTCCCGCGGGTCCCGACACGAGGCCGATCCTGGGGCTCGACGTGGGGTGTAACTCCGGGGTGAGTGACCTGGGAGGGACCAAGCCGGGGCCAAGCACTGGCCGCCTCCACGTCCACTGTGGTTCCGGCCTGGGCGTGGCATCAAAACTTGCCCAAAGTGGGTTTTAGAAGCGTAGCTGTGACCCGTGCTTGGTGCTCTTAACTTGTCTGCAAGGACCCCCCAGTGTCAGGAACTGTGAGTGAGCCACAGCTCCGTTCCAGATTCCCGCCCCCTGGGCCAGACTGCTGGGCGGGAGGTCGCCTCTCCAGCGTGGCCCCCTGGCCGAGGAAAGGGGCCTTCCCACCTTTCCCGCAGAGCTGGAATTGGTTTACTAGGGGAGAAGAGCGAAGGTTACAGAACCATGCCTGGAATTTAAGGATCCAACATACACAGTGCGGAACAGGTCCCGGAGCCCGGTACATATTTACTTAAACTATGCTTACCGAGTACAAGGGTGAACAGTAGGGAGGATCAAGAAAGAAAATAGAACTTTCTGCCAAAAGGAGGGAGGCCTTACCACTGTTCCTACCGCAAAGTATTCTTAGGCATATAATGATTATAGTCAAACCACATGCAGAATAAGGAAATGTCAATCTCACCTCTTTGTAGCCTCTGGGATATCTTGGTGGAACAGACAGTTTCACCCCATGATTGCAAATGCTTCCAAAGTTAGGACCCTCGCTCCTAGAGTAGGACCTGGAGAGGTGAGGAGAAGTTACTGAGAGGATGGCCTTTGACAGAAGAGATTCTGGTTGCCCCACATGTAATCCTAGCACTCAAAGGCAAAGGCGGGCATCCCTGAAAATTTGAGGCCAGCCTGGGTTATATGAATGAGACCTTTTTTTCAAAAAAACAACTAAAATGAAACTTTAGTGGAGGGTTGGAGACCTTGAGAGACTCAGCTGATAAGAAACATTAGCATACAGTCCCTTAAGACTGTGGGAGGTGGGAGTCCCTGTATGCCTCCTGTAAACTATTATAATACAGGAAATCAGTACATAAAGCAATGGAAAAAAGAGATTTTATGAAAGGAATCAGAAAACCACCAGAGATTTTGTCATTGAGAATGGTATATGGAAACCCATTAGAAAGAAAGGTATCATTGCAGTCAACTAAGACAGTGGTTCCCAAATGTACATTTGGAGAAGAGGTCTACTTTGTACTTCAAAAAGAAATTCTTGCTTGGTGTAGTGGCCCATGCCTTTAGTCCCAGCACCAGAACGCAGAGGCAAGGGCAGATCTCAAGGCTAGCCTGGTCTACATAGTGGGTTCCAGAACAGAGAGTGCTACATAGTAAGACCCTATCTCAAAAAAAACCAAAAGAAAAAATTCCATGTACAAAAGGATTTACGGTTGACCCTCCATATTTTAGGGTTCTGACTCTGTAGATTAATCATGGATTGAAAATACTTGAAAAAAATTGTACTAAACATGTACAAGCTTTATTTTCTTGTCACTTCCCTAAGCAATAGTCACAACTAGTTATATAGCATTTCCATTGTAGTGGATATTACATGTAACCCAGTGATAAAGTTTTATTCTTTTTTTTTTTGAGACAGGGCCTCCCTGTAGCCCCAGCTGTCCTGGAACTCACTATGTAGACCAGGCTGGCCTTGAACTCACAGAGATCCGCCTGCCTCTGCCTCCCAAGTGCTGGGAGTACAGGCGTGTGCCACCACGCCCAGCTATTCTTACTATTTTTATGTATATGAGTATATTGCCTGCATGCAAGTGCACCCATGTCATGCAGTGCCCATGGAGGTCAGAAGAGGGAATCAGATCCCCTAGAACTAGAGTTATGGACAGTTGTTAACTGCCACGTGAGTGCTGGGAACTGAACCCAGGGCCCCTGCAAGAGCAGCCAGTGCTCTTAACTACTGAACCATCTCTCTAGCCTCACTAGTGATAATTTAAAGTACACTAGGTGTGTATAGGTTATTGGCAAATACTACACCATTCTATGTAAGGGACTTGAGCATCCACGGATTTGGTGTCCTTGGAGGACCTGGAATTGATCCCCATAAATGTAGACACCTTTGATTCCAGCACTCAGAAGGCAGGAGCCAACTGATCTCTGTAATTGAATTCAAGGCCAGCCAGGGCTACACAGTGAGACCCTGTTTCAAAATAGGGTGGAGGGCTGGAGAGGTCTCTTGAGGACCCAGGTTCAGTTTCCAGCACCCACATGGTGGCTCTCTCACCCTCCCCTGGCTTTCGTGCACTGCACGCATGCCAGTACGTATACAGACAGGCAGAACGCTTGAACGAAAAAAAGAGACAGTTCTCCTAACCAAATATTCCATTCCCACACAGTGACACCAGTGTTTTTCTTGTGTACCCATCCTGTGTATATCGCAACATTCATACATAAATATCCCTGTCTTCCGGTTTCACAAACAGTGACACATTATTTGTACCTTGCTTTTCATTTAATTAATTATTGGAGGGTTTTTTTTGTTTGTTTTGTTTTTTCTCCTCATAGTCCTGGAGATTAAGCCTGGGGACTTTAGCAAACATTGTACCACTAAGTTACATTCAAGATGATGTTGAGTCCCCTGGAACTGGAGTGATAGATGGTTACCTGCCATGTGTGTGCTGAGAACTGAACCCAGGTCCTCTGCAAGAACAGCCATAAGGCCACTGAGCCATCTCTCCAGTCCCTACTTTATGAATTATTTTAAGGCAAATACCTTTATGACCACTGTCAAAGTAAAAAATAAAACATTGTCAGTACCCAAAAGCTCCTTATAGGATGGTGCTGGAGAGATGACTCGGGGGTTAAGAACACTTGCTGTCCTTCCCGAGGACCTGGGTTTGACTTTCAGCACACACATGGCTGTTCTGGCTCTGTCACCCTCTTCCAGCCTTCACAGGCATTACATACATACTGGCTGTCAAAACACTTGTACAAATAAAAATTTTTTTAGTTTGCTTTAAACAAAAGTTCCTTATGCCTTTTTCATAAAACCCCCTCTTTACCCAGAGGTAAAACTAGCCTATTATTATTATCCTCTTGCTTTCCTTTATAGCTTAATCATTTTTATCCATAAACTATAGTTTTACCCACTTTTAGACTTCATATAAATAGAAGCTTGCATGCCAGATGTGGTGGTGCCTGCCTGTAATTCCAGCACTTGGGAGGCAGAGGATCAGGAACAGTTTCAGGTCAGCCTGGACCTGCTTCAAGAAAATGAAAACTTGCCCTGTGGCTTGATTTTTTTTTTTTTTTTTAAACTCAGTAACGTGTTTTTGAAAAGACTCTGTTTGCTGCATTGAGGAAGTTCCTCTCCTTTAAACTGTTTTCTGACGTTAATTGTCCACGCTGCTGTTGATGGCTGGGGGGTTTCCAATGTACCTTTTCTTGACCTGTATAAAAGGTTGCAGAAGTAGGAATAGGAAAATGCCTTGAAAAATATATAAAACAACATGTTTGAGTTAGTTATAATGGTCATTGAGAAAAGAGACAGGACCTCATTTAAAAGTTTAGAAGGGTGTTAAGATGGTAAAGATCACCAGTCATTCATTAGATTTGTCTAGAAAGATCAGTAGTGACTTAGGAGTGATGGCTACAGAAGCAAAGTAAGTCTCAGGGGGTCATGAAAGATCAGACAGGCAAATCAGAGGCTGTAAATTGAATGCTGGATGAAGACTTTTTGGAATCTAGACTTTGCCAACCACAGATCTGAGAAGCAGATTTTTCCAAGATGGTGCCTGCTGTATTCACCCTGCTGTTAAGGGACACCACTCAGAGCGCTTCTGGACGCATTTCCTTTGTGTCTGAGACACATTATCAGAAAAAGATAATGAGCTTACCAATGTATTATTTAAGCTGAGAAACTGCTCTGAGCTCTTTGCTGCCTTTGTCACATCATTGGATTATGGCTTTCAGCTGTACAACCCAATCTATCATTAGTGTCAGAATATAGGCAGCCAGGCGTGGTAGTACATGCCTGTAATCCCAGCACTCAAGACACAGACAGCAGGATCAGGAGTTCAAGGCCATCCTCAGCTACACCGTGAGTTTGAGCACTGTCTTTTTAAAAAACGGCCAGGAGGGAACTAGAATATAGGGATGATGCATTACAGCCTGTGGCCCCTGGAGGGCACTGAGAGTCTGCTCAGGAAATCCTTGTACAGCCTGTTTAGATGATTGTTTAGGGGCCTCACATCCTATAAGGCAGAGAGGTAAGTGGCAGTCTCAAAGGTTGAGAGAGATTTCTTTTCTACTCACTGGTTGAGAGCTGCAGTGACAACGCTCTTTTGGGTTCCTCTAGGATCTGAGTGTGGCTCTGTACAAACATTTCCTTTCTCTGCGTGATGGGAAGACCTGCCCAGAAGCACCTGGAGAACTCCGCCTCCTCTGCTGTGACATAGATCCAGTCCTTGTGGCTCGAGCTAAGAAAGAATGCCCTTTTCCTGATGCCTTGACCTTTATCACCTTGGACTTCATGAATCATAGAACCAGGAAGGTTCTCTTGACTTCTTTCTTAAGCCAGTTTGGGCGTTCGGTTTTTGACATTGGCTTCTGCATGTCAGTAACCATGTGGATTCACCTGAACCACGGGGACCAAGGCCTGTGGGAGTTTCTGGCCCATCTTTCCTCTCTCTGCTGCTACCTCCTTGTGGAGCCACAGCCTTGGAAGTGTTACCGGGCAGCTGCAAGGCGTCTCAGAAAGCTGGGACTCCATGATTTTGATCACTTCCGCTCTCTCACCATCCGGGGTGATATGGCAAATCAGATTGTGCAGATCTTAACACAGGACCACGGGATGGAATTGGTGTGCTGCTTTGGCAACACCAGTTGGGACCGCAGCCTTCTGCTCTTCAGAGCAAAGCACACTGTGGAGAGTAATCCCATCCCTGAATCATTGATAGAAGAGGCAGAAAGGAACAGATTAAAACTATGAAGACAATGAAATGGGAGGGTAAGAAGACCCACAAATACCGAAATGCTTCTATGCTGAGAAGTACGTTCCCTGTCCTGAAGAGTCGGCCTCAAAACCTGTCAGAAACTTTTGACAAAGTATCTCAGGCAAGCAACTGAAAGAATCAGTGTCTGTGTTCCCTGTTCTTTGGGACAGTCCCTGAGGGGAGTGAATTTGCAGAGCAGTGACCTAGGCAGTCTGCATGGAGACCATAGTCCTGGCTGTAGGAAATGAACTGCTTTTGAGGTTATCTGTGGTGCTGGAGATTGAACTTAGGGTCTTGGGTGTGCTAGGCAAATGGTCTGCCACTGAGCTGATCTCCAGTTTTAGGGGTTATTTAAAAAACTAAGACCAAGTTAATCTTAGAATGCATCATTCTCTGAGCTCCTTAAACCTGATTGTTGCTTCAGGCATTTTTCAGCCCTTCCTATCTGCCTTAAGGCAAAGCCTCATCATGAATTCTGTGAAGAGGTATTAAACTGGCTAAAGTCGATGGTAGAAAAAGCATCTTATCTTTCTAGAACAGGCCACACCCTCAGCACAGTAGTTATAGATACCAGATGCATTAACATTTCAAAGATATTTAGGGCTGAGCATAGTGGTACATGCCTTTAATCCCAAGACTAGGGAAACAGAAACAGGTAGATCCCTGTGAGATCTGGGATAGCCTGGTCTACATAATAAGTTCCAGGCCAGGTAGGACTACAGGGAGACTCTATCTCTGAAAAATAAAATATATTTAGGAGCAGCAGGGTACAGTGGTACATGCCTATAATCTCAGTATTTGGAAGGTAGAGGCAAGAGGATCAGGAGTTCAAGGCCAGCCTCAGCTACATAGTGAGTTTGAGGCCAGCCTCAGCTATATGAGACCTTGTCTCACCAAAACAAGATCTTAAGCTGGGCATGGTAGCACATGCCTTTAATCCCATCACTTGGGAGGCAGAGGCAGGCAGATCTCTGAGTTCAAGGCCAGCCTGGTCTACATAGTGAGTTCCAGGCCAGCTGGGACTAGAGGGAGACCCTGTCTAAAAAAGACCGAAAAAAAAAAAATCTTAGGGGGTATAGCTCAGGGGCAGAGTGCCTATCAAGTATGTGCAAGGCCCTAGATTTAACTCTCTGTGTGTCCCCTACCCCTGAGTTTTAAAATCATGAACCCTGAGGTAGATAGTGACTTGAGTCTTGCATGGGGCTTAGGAATCTTGCTTTACCCTCCCTGTCTTCCTTTCTTTTTGTTTTTCAGTGGTGAGGCTCAAGCACACACTTGGCAACCACTCTGCCACTGAGCTACATCCCCAGCCCTTTGGTATTCTATTTGGTAAAATATACATAAAATCTGCTCTGCTAGCCATCTTTAAGTGTACAGTTCTGTGGTATTAAGCACATTCACAGTAAAGATTCTGTTTTTATCAGACACCTCAGATGATTCTGATGTAAGCCTAGGAGTCCACACTTTGAATGCACAGGGTTCCATCTCGCCTTCTACATATCTATCTGGAATAAGTTCTTCCATTCCTATAACAATTACCCACATGCCCCTCAATTTACCAGCAGCCCCACTCTACGGTTCTAGACTAATATTTTTCCTGTTTTGTAGTCCTGATCCCCCAGAGTAGCTCTTAGGCATTCCAAACTCTGTGTATCCCCAAAGCAGACTCCTTACCCTGTCTCCAAACCTAGTCTTGTTTCAGTTGGTGGCGTTCCTTGGTTGCTCAAGCTAGAAAGTCAATTGACTTCTCACTTCCACTCCCCACAATGAAATAGGCACAGAGTCCAACAAACTCTGCCAAAAACATGTAGATCCCACTCACTGCATTTACGTGGCTGGTCCTATGGAGGGTTTCTGTGTTAACTCACCTGTTTTCCGGTCCACCCATTTCTTGTCTTGCAGCCATAGTTTTACCTGTGCAACTGAAATAACACCTTTCTTTTCCTATGCTCAAATGAACAGAGGGATGTGATATTTTGTGGAATAGAATGTTAAACAAAAATAAATGCTAATACTGATGACACTTCATAAACATGCTGCAAGCTACAGTTAGGTTTGTTAGAACTAAGACTTAGGGGAAAAAACCTCAGGAAACATGAATATAACTGTCTAAATAGTTTGCTTTTCAAGATAAGGAAGTGTTATAATTAGAAGCTCAGGGGCTACAGAGCATTTTAAGTGTTGGGCAGTGGTTATGGAGGGATGGAAACGAACCTTTTTTTTTTTTTGGCCTCGCAGTGATGAGTTGGGGACAGAGCTGAACTCATTCTCTGTAGATCTTAACTGTAACTTTGTGGCCCCATTGAGGTCACATTTCTCTTCACCAGGACAATGCAAAGAAATGAATTAGGGGCGGTGACAGGCTGTATAATGGACTCCCAAGATGTCCACATACCAACTCCCGTAACCTTTGAATGTCAGATAGCAAAAGACTTTGTTGATGTGATTAAGGATCTTGAGATAGAGAGGTTAACCATGATGATTAGAATGGACCCTAACTGTAATAATCCCTTTTAAAGGGGAGGCAGAGGGAGACTTAACCACAGCAGATGTAATGACAAACCACAGGTTGGGTGCTATGAGGAAGGACCACAAGCCAGGAACGCCAGCAGCTTCCAGAAGTTAGACCAGCCAAGGGAATACATCCTTGCCTTGATTCTTCAGAAGGCATACAACCCTGCCAGCACCTGGATTTCAGATTTTAGATTTCTGGCTTCTGGGATTATAAGAATAAGTATGTGTTGTTTTAGCTACTGAGTTTATGGTTTGTTATAGCAGGAAAACACTAATACAGGGGCTGTACTAGGGACTATAAAGGGACTGACTTAGAAGGTCTCAAGTGGAACCTGTCCCAAACAACCTGATAGCAGAAATTGGCTCCAGTGACCAAAGGATCTGCAGGGCCTTCATCTTCACAGTTATCTGAAAAAACTTCAACCATAAAAGGTTTTGGGAGATGCATTAACTTCTGAATCTGACCTATTCCCTAGGAGCGTGCTACTGGATGAACAGTTACCTGATCTGTGAGGAGGAACCGTTGTGTTTCATTACATCTGTGGCAGTCAGAAGAAAATGTGTGACTGCATAATCACCCATAAGAGCCCTTGACCACCATGAGAGTACCTTTGGCACCAAGAAAAGATGGTCTTATTAATCTCAAACCAGCATAACTAAGGAGCCAATACCAAATATGATGAGCCTTCTTAAGCCTTATGACACAGAGAATGGTCATATGGATATACTTAAATATTTAAAAACATTTTATAAGCTGGATATTAGGGGCACCCATAATCCTGGTACTTGGGAGGTCAAGGCAGAAGGATGACTGTGAGTTCAAGGCCAGACTGCACAATACAATGAGCTCCAGGCCAACCTGGGTTACATGACAAGACCCTATCCAAAAACCTTTTTTTAAAAAATACTTTATTATTTTTATTTTATGTGAATGAGCGTATTACCTGCATGTATGCGAGCGCACCCATGTCATGCAGTGCTGCAGAGGTCAGAAGAGGGCTTCAGATTCCCCTGGAACTGGAGTTAAGGATAGTTCGTAGCTGCCATGTGGGTGCTGGGAATCGAACCCGGGTCCTCTGCAAGAGCAGTCAGTGCTCTTAACCGCTGAGCCATCTCTCCAGCACCCCAAAAACCTTTTAAATGTATGTGATGAAATATCCAAAATATTTTCCTGAAGGTAACATCAAAACGAGACCACCCCCACCTTTTATACTAAAACTTTAAAATCTGGCATGTATTTTACACTTGAAGCGCTCTGTCTGGACCAGCTCATTAGCCACATGTGGCCAGTGCATATATTTTCACAGCAAAGAAAGAGGTATTGTATTCGATTCCTTTCACATGCCTAGCATGCTTTTAGCTGCTATAGGAGTGGGGTGGGGGAGTAGATTAGACAGTCGTGGATTTCCAAAGGTTAAGTTCAGTTCCCTCAGCAAATAAGGTTAGAGTTGATGAGAAAGGAGAGGCTCATACAAGCTAGCATGCTCGTAAGAGCTTCAGAAAAGGAAGTCTTGGCTGCAGTGGGCCTGGAGGACTTTCGGGGGCATGTGAGAATTATGTGTGACTGGGGAATGTGGAATGAGGGACAAGGCACAGTCCCTGTGAGCCTGGAGAAGGGACCTCATGGCAAGGGCAAACAGACATGGGTATATGTACAGAAGACACAGGATGGGCTGGTGTAAACAATTGTTCTGGGCAGGAAGTAACAGTCACTTTTGCCACTTAAATTATAGACGGAATACTTATAAAGGGAAAACTATAAACACATTAGAGAATAAAAGCCATTTTAAAATTTAGAGTACTTTCCACACAAAACACCCAAAAGCCATAGGCAATATTTGACAATGTATCTAACTAAACAAATAACATAAAACCCTGAAAATCCAGTCAAGTTTCATGACAAACTACCAACTAGGAAAACTATTTACAATGTTTGTGACAAAAGATTCATAATGTACACAGTTTCTGAATCTATCAGAAAGATCCTCAGGAAAATAATGGCAGGTTAGCACCTGAACACTTGTGTTTTGTTTAAGACGGCCTTGTGTCTGGCCTTGAACGTCATATGTAGCTCAGGCTGGCCTTAACCTCCTGCTTCAGGTTCCCAAGTGCTGCAGTTACAATGTGGGCCACGATGCCCTACCCAAACTTGGATAATCGTGTCAATTGTATACCAATAAAAACATAATGATTCATTACTTGGATTAAGACAATAGTTTGTTGTTTTTTTTTTATTTTATGTGTATGAACGTTTTGCCTGCATGTGTAAGTGCACCTGTGTCATGTGATGTCTGTGCAAATCAGAAGAGTGCATTGAATTCCCCCGGAACTGGAGTTACGGATGGTTATTAGCCATCACACGAGTGCTGGGTATTGAACCCGAGTCCTCTGCAAGAGCAGCCAGTACTCTGGTGAGCCATCTCCAACCCATTTTTTTTGTTGTTGTTGTTTTTAATGATGGTGAGAATGTAAGAAAATAGTTTTTGTGAACTCCTTTAGTGGGAATGTAAATTAGCATGACTTTTTAAACTTTAAAATTTTTTAGATTTTCAAGTGTTTTGCCTGCTTGTATGTAAGTGCACCCGTGTGTACAATGCTCATGGAGGCCAGAAGAGGGCATTGGATACCCTACAACTGGAGTTACAGATGGTTGTTAGCCTCCATGCCCCAGCCTGGCTATTCTAGAAGACAATTGTCAATATTTATCAAAATGTATGCTACACTTAATTAAATTTCATTGTAAAGATTTTATCCTGAGGGGCTGGAGATATGGTTAAGAGCACTGGCTGCTCTTGCAGAGGACCCAGGTTCGATTCCCAGCACCCACATAGTTGCTAACAGCTGTCAATAACTCCAGTTCCAGGGGATCCAATGCTTTCTTCTGACTTCTGCAGGCATTTCATGACATGGATGCACTTATATACATGCAGCAATACACTCATACACATAAAATAAAAGTAATAGCTGGGCGTGGTGGCACACACCTTTA